AGATTTATATATCTGTGAGTAAAGAAAAAAAACCAAAAAACCAAACAACAACAACAACAACAACAACAACAAAAACTCTGTTCTGTTTGCCTGGTGGATTGCCTGGTGGAAATACTAAGCTCAGGAAAATCTATGGGATTAAGGTCCATGTGGGCTTATGGCAGAGTTGCAGGAGTGTTCTTTTGCTCAGTCATCTCAAGGGTTGTATCTTATACACAAAAATAGGATGAAATAAAAAGTTCCTGGTCCAAAGTAGTAACAAGTACTAATGTAAATCCAGTAATTCACACTTTGACTCTTTTTATACCAGTACTGCCAAGCTAAAGACGACTACAGTGTTTTGCAAAGCAGTATCTTCACCAAAGCAATATCTGCAATGAAAAACTTCCCATACAAACTCCGAGCTGGTCCTCAGAAAATGATGCTTAAACGTATAAATGTATAAAGTACATAAGCAATACAGCAAATCAGAGAAACATTAACCTGCTTATCCCAAAGTAAACAGACCAATCAGAAACAGTTCAATTGCTGGGGACTTTCATTAACCAATACTTTTGATTAGAAATTTGAGATAAAGGCAATACTTTCTTTGTATTATAAAACCAAATTCTGCCAATATCAGATCCCTACTAGTCTCACCCCATTCGATTTTATTTCACATAAAGTGATGTGAACTTACATATTTGGTTATCTGATTTACTCAGTCAAATGTTAAATTTCTGTAAAAAAAAAAAAGAGGCATTGCTTATCCTCAGTTATCATCACAGCATAAAGGGAAAAATCCTGCTTATTGATGAATGAATCAACGAACAGCTACCTATATATTAAATTCTCATCTACACTAGTAGAACAATAAGAGAAAACAACATATTTTGTTAACACAGTACTGGATCTCAGACTTTTCACCACAAAAGACACGTACTTATCCAATGTATTTTTCCCAAGAATAAAATCAAATGCTGGGGAGATAAAGCTATATTAGTAATTTGTATTTCTATTGCAGAAAGCCTTCAAATGCTGTAAAATAATAATTTCAGAAAAATCTTATTCTACAGATATTAGAAAAAGTAACTGTGTGCTTGAATCATTTAGAAAAAAACAGCAAACCAGAAACAAATACTTTTTATTTCTCTATGATTTATTTCATAATGGTGATTATTTTCAAAGACTGATGACTCTGAATCAACAGTTGTGTTGCCTTTAAAAGGAGAAATATTGGAGAATAACTGCCATTTATTACTCATTTTAGAAGACAGCTTTGTAGACTTTGGTGAGAAAACTTTAAATGCCATCTAGATTGGCTTATGTCTGTATATTCTTTAAACCAAAACAAATCAATGTCTAGCATTTATTTCCCAAATCTCCAATGTCTTCAAAAGACAGAATTACTTCAAAGATAGCCTTCTCAGAACATAGATTTCTATTTTATGTATATATTATCTACTGATCATTATTATTACATTTGGATATTTATTTAAAACATGATATATCCTAATTATGGTCTCCCCTCCCTCTATTTCCTCCAGTTCCTCTCCACCTATCTTCCTATCTGGATTCACCCACTTTCTGTGTCTCCTTAGAAAACAAATGGGCTTCTAAGGGAAAATAGTAAAATATAAGAGAAAAAATGCTAATACATCAAAATAGGATAAGAAGAACAAATAGAAGGAAAAGAGCCCAAGAAAAGGCACAAGAGACACAGTTACAGATGCAGAGATCAACTTGTTCCCATACTCAGGAATCTCATAAAAGAACTAAGCTATAAGCCACAGTATATATGTATAGAACCTGTAGCTAAAAAGAAAGGGAAAAAATTTTGTGCACGCGCGCGCACACACACACACAAACACACACACACGGGGGGGGGTTTGAGGTGGGGGGACTTGGCATTATGAGACTAGTTATGTCTGGTTTAATGAGATTTTTATAAATCAATATTTCCTCAGGCTAGGATCAGAGGAACATGGAACTTCCCTAGTAAATATCAAAATGTGTGCTACATGCAACCTTAATACATCAGAGGCATTTAAGAAATCCTACTGGGTGAAGATATTTCACTTATTTAGACACATTTGTCATCATTTGCACACTATATCTTGGAAAGAACACTGCAGAACAATTGTTAAAAAAAAAAAATAACCTAACAGGGAGCTGGGCAGTGGTGGCTCATGCCTTTAATCCCAACACTCAGGAGGAAGAGCCAGGAGGCTCTCTGTGATTTCGAGACCAGCCTGGTCTACAAGAGCTAGTTCCAGGATAGCCTCCAAAGCCACAGAGAAACCCTGTCTGCAAACCTGCTCCTCCCCCCCCCCCACAAAAAAAAACAACAAACTAACAGATAAAATATAATGGGCTCCATAATAAAAAAGAAAGGCAACGAGTCCTTTATTTTTACTTTTTGATTTTTGAGATAGTGTATCACTATATAGGTGAAAGAAAGAAATTAAGGCAAAACATTGTAGGACAACAGAAGATACATTTCAAACATGCATACACATGCAAGCAAGACCATACATAAACACACATGCCAAACATATGAGAATAATTTAAGATAAGTGGAAACTTAGTTGTTTACAGTTGGCTAATATGTAAACTAACAGAAAAGGTTAAGGTAATACAATTTGCAAATTAAGAAATATTAATTTACTATCAGTACTTTTAAAATGACCATCTTCATTATTCAAAGAAAAACAGATGAAAATTAAAAATAACTTTTTAATCTAACAAGTACTCAAAATCTCATAAAAATGAGAATCTTCAAACAGTGCACAACCATATTTTGATGTGGAACATGGGGGAAAATTAGAACATTTTTGGAAATATATTTGGCAACATGAATCACAAGTTTTAAATTCATCCTTCTCTATTCTGTGCTTTGATAAATTACTTCAAACATTTTCTGACTATGGAAGGCCAAGTAAATTGACCACATTGCAACATCAGGAGAAACAATTTTATTACTTCCAAATTCTGTGTGACGTATTCAGTGGAACCAATGGCAAGGTATTTCAGATTAAGAAGAACATGAAACTCAGTGTTCAGCAAGATGATGTGGACATTAATTAAGATGTATAAAGTTTGTACTCAAAAGTACTGAAGGGGCAATGTACCTAATTGTTGACAGTGATTCCTAGAGAGAAATATAGCTAGTCGCCTTCTCATCTATGCTTGTTTAGGTGGATTTTATATTGCTTAAGTAATTCTTTGAAGCTGGAAAAATTAATTTGGCCACTCAAAATGGAAATAAATGGCAAAGAAATAAAAATTGAATATTATTAGTATTCTATTGGAAAGTCCATTAAAAACAAGTTCTATCAGAGTTCAGTTTTATAAACTGATACAATAGAAAATGAGAGAGTCTCTTTGTTACAGTCCCTCAGGCCAAACCTCAACAGTGTAGCCCGTCTGCCATCAATTCAGTTAGATGACTTTTAACTAGGTGAGCAAATGCACCACAAATTAAGCTAAGATTTTAATTTATGATTATTCCAGAAGCACATTTTTACAGTCAATAGGACACTTTTCTGATACTCAGTTTTGGTGACACTTTCAGGTATTCCTTACACATTTTCTGAATTTCTAACATAAATACGGAATAAGACTTAGAAGACTTGTCCTTTCTAGAAGAAACACATGTGGTACACTACTACACTCATTTGTCTTCTAAACATAAAGTGTGCCCAGCAAAGTTCAAGGAAAGAGGGTAGGGCAGCCTAACCCTCTCCCCGAGAGGAGGGAACCTTCGGTGTATTTCTTTTCCTGAATTGTGACCTACCAGGATTTAGCAGTGAAGCTGGTAGACTTTATATTAAAACTTTCAATCCTTAGAGGCTTGTTTAAGAAAAAAAAAAGACCCAAATTCTTAAGGTTGATAACATAATTACAACTTAATATGCTGCTTCCCTGGTTAGCTTTTTTAAATTGAAATAGTTTTTTTTTTTTAAGAATATAATATATTCTGATTATGGTTTCCCCTCCCCCATACTCCTCATCCAAGAAGCATCCAAGAAGCAATACTAAAATAAAGTGAGATAAATTTTAAAAATCAGAATATCCCCCTTCTAACTTTGTAAAATATATAGAAGTTTCTGTAAGGTTGTAGTCAAATTTGTCAAGTTTTTCAAACAGTTTTCATTACAATTAGAACACATATGATAAAATAAGTAGAGGAAACAGCATAGTGGGCACACCCCTCCCCCTTTACTTTCCCCAGCTTTAGACACTCTCCCATTTCATCTGTAGAGCCCCTACATCTCAGTCACCTCAGGCAATTTTTACTTCAACTCCAGACACTGTGCCATTTTGTCTGTGAAGTTTCAGCCTGAGTCCCTGAAGAATAATAAATTATGCTGACAACAATATTGTCAGGTCTAGAAGAAATCAAGTACCCAAAATTTTCTTTTTGCTACAGTTACTTGTAGAGATTACAATAGGTAGCTGTCCCTCCAGTCTCCCTGTCCCTTTTGTCCTCTCTACCAACCCTCTCCCTATCCCACCCCTGCTCTTAGTCCCTCCTTGCTTATCATCCTCTCTTCAGTTATAGGGACTGAACTCAGGCTCAAGCTCATGCACATCAGGCAAGAATGACAGCCCCAGCCAACTTTAAGTCTCTTTTAATGGGTACCCTCTGTCACATTTTCTCTCTCCTATGTTTCATTCAGGGGAAGAAATCAGTCCATGTTCTCTAGAATTTCCCCGTGTCAGTTGCTTATGGATGTAAATGTATTAACAGAACACAGTGTTGCAGACTTGTTGCCCAAGTAATAGTGAAGGAGAGAATACATTTGGAGGACCAACAATTAGGGACCAACACTAGAAGATAGACAGCATACACGGGTAAACTAAGGGGAGAAAGTCCCTTGAGGAAAGATCTGCTCTATGGCTAGTTATAGAAACAAGTGGTCATATTTCTATGTTCACCAAATACATTAGACTGTTAAAGAGGCACCACATGAATGCTATGTGTCCACAGCATGAGCGGGGAACGAGACATGACTCACCAGTTTTCATTTCTAGTAAGCGCTTTTTCTCTAGCTGGCGTTGGAGGCGTTCTTGCTCTGCTCGCTCTTTGGCTATTCTGGCACGCTTGTCATTTTCTGCTGCTTCTCTTTTTTTGATGTTTTCCTTTAACGCTTGCTAATACAAATAAATTTTGAGAAGTGATTAATTTTAACCAGTGATTCCACAAGAAAACAATCTAAAATCATACACAAGGTACAACCATGAGTGAATACTTTTCAGATAATGGTTAGTTCTTAATGAGTAGCAGTCATATACTACATTCACATAAACCCTTGTTAAATATGTATTTATAAATACCCTGCTAGGTTTAAACCACCTGCATGTAAATGGAATTACCTAAAAGGAAAGAGACAGAAACTAAAAATAAAAAGACATTTAATACACAAATCAAATCTGCTTTCTAACACAGAAAGAGACTTTAGGAGTCTTCTGTATTTTCTCTTCTATAAGTATTTCCACTTTAAGAATAGTGCTAAAGAAATGATAGAAAAGAGATGATCTCTATGGAATGGTCAGAAACCAAGACTTTCTTTTTCCATATAGAAAAGAGTGTCATGAAGATAACAGCATAAGTATTTGAGGTCTCAATGCCAGAACCTGCGACTGTTGATCAAAACCAATAACATGCTAATGAAAAGAAGATCTCAATGGATATGTGATTAGTTAATTAATTTCTTATTTCTAAGTTTTATACCAATCAAGAAATGCCTCTCATGTGGCATTAGTGAGAATCAGCAGGTAAAAGGTAGACTGTTGTAAGTGCCAACAAACAGCATGGCATCATATTACAACAAACAGACTGTATTTTAGCTAAGTGTCAATGAAAACACACAGGTTACAAGTTAATTACCAACAATATTTTAAAAGCATACAATTAAATTATAAATACGTAGTTTAGTATTTTTCTTTTAAATGCAGTTCTAGAAATTGAACTCAGGCGAGAGTTCTACCAACTGAACTACATCCCCAGCCCATTTGTTTCCTTATTGTTTGTTGTAGTGTTTGGGATTAAGCGCAAGTACTCACAGATCCTAACACAACCACTGAACAGTGTAACCACTCATTTCTGTACCTGTATGTGTGGCATTTGTGTGTACATGTTTCTATTCATACATCCAAGAATGTGGGGTTTGATTCTGATGGCAGGTATCTTCCTCAATAGCTCTCCCCATTTGAGATCGGGTCTTCCACTGAAACTGGAGCCCAGCAATCTGTTCCAGGGCAGAGCAGCAGGCTCTGGGGCCCTACCTGTCTCTGCCTTCTCAGTAGTGGGAAAAAAGGCACTAGCCACTGTGGCAAACCCAGCTTCTGCATGTCTGCTTAGAAATGCAGGTATCAGGCTTGAGAGACAACCATTTGTTGAACTGAGCTATTTCTTAATACTTCACCATTTTTTTAAAACCCAGAGATAGTACAAGTTCCTTATTAAAAATGATAAAGTAAATTATAATATTATTGCTAAGAATAATGAAAGAAACACTCTAAGGAAGAAAAGAAACACAAAATATTAACCCACTCACCTGCTAATTTCAATATATACTCGAATGAGATGTTAAATGGAAAACAGAAGGGATGGATGGAAGAAGAGAGGGATGGCAAAAGGGAGAGGATGAAAATATAATAGATTCTTCCTATGTGATAGAATGGGCAAAAAATAAATACAACAACAGAAACATGAAATAAAGATAATATTATCAGACAGAAATAGGAGTATTCGAAACATCCATCTTTCCTCCAGCTACTGTAGGGATTACCATTACAGCTGCTTTTCTCCCCCTTTTCCTCTATCACTACCCCACCCATGTGACTCAGAACTCCCCTTCCCTTTAAAATAGGTCACATGTATATGACAAAAATTAATGAAAAAAAAAAAACAGGCCACAAATTTGAAAGAGAGCAACGAGGGAGGGCAATATGGGACAGTTTAGCTATAATCACAAGAATTAATAATAAAAATAATAACAAAGAGAAGAGGCCAAAATCATGAAAAAACAGAAAGAAAATCCTAATATCACAGCAGCTAAGAAGTTACTTTATACTAACTTTACACTAGATAAAGCCTGCCTGCGGTTAGATTACAGCTGAATTATAAAAATCAAGAAGCTGGCCAACTATGGTGGTTTGAATACAATGGCCCATATAGGTGAATATATTTGAATGCTAACTCATCAGGAAGTGGCACTATTTGAAAAGATTAGAAGGATGGAGGCAAGTGACCTTGGAGTAGGTGTGGCCTTGCTGGAGGAAGTGTGCAACTGGGGGTGGGCTTTGAGATTTCAAAAACCCTTGCCAAGCCCAGTCTTCTCTTTCTGCCTGTGGATCAGGACACAGCTTCTAGTTACTGCTGCAGAACCATGCTTGCAGCCATGCTCCCTGCCATGATAATAATAATGGACTGGTACTACAAAATATTAGCAAGCCCCGAATTAAAAACTTCCTTTTTAAAGAGTTGCCATAGTTGCAGTTTCTCTTCACAGTAACAGAACACTGATTAAGGCACTAACTGATGCTCTGTGCAAGAACATTACAGGCTCACCTGTTAGAAAGTGCTCACCAAGTTGCTGAGTTTTAGAGATGGAAAGAGACAGTGGTAATAAAGTTAGAAGAGTTAAGGTGTGCTAACCCAAGTTCTTGGAAAGAACCATACCTTACGTAGAACCTTCTCTGCAAGGCTGATCAGTTGATTAGAATTCCAATTAATTTGGGGAATGTTTCAGGTCCAGGGCCTAATTGCAATTTATCATGGGCTATCTTTAGCCCACTAATAGCCATTCCTTTCCCGTCGTTCTGACCTAACATCCTTGTGATTAGTAGACAAATCCTTTAGAATGTACAAATAGACCATGAACTTCCACTAACCAAAAAGCTAAGAACATCATTAGGCAGCATGAGACCTCTAACAGAGACTTCCTGTTCACTGTGACCCACTCACCTGATGTTTACAACCCTGTATTTGAAGTGTCTTGATTTATGACTTTCTTATTCAGTTCCTCTAAAAAACTGTCACACAGTGAAACATGGAATGTGGAGTAAGCAGAATCTGGATTCTCAGCCATGTTCATACATACCTGGCTCTGCTGACTGGTGTTATCATAATGTCCTGGGAGAATCTAAGTTCAGGAACTCTAAGTAATAAAAGATTCTGTCTCTAACCTGTTTTCTTGCAGCTTCTGCCT